GAACAGACAAGATGCCAGAGGGCAAACTTTTCCTTCCTCCATGTTTTTATTTGGGACCTTCAATGTCTTAGACACTGTACGAAGACCTTAAGAAGAATTCACTTGCTCTACGTAGAGTTCACAGATACAGATGCTAATCTCACTGGAGACATCTTCATAGGTACACTCAGCAATCATGATTAATCTAGGTATCTTATGCCTCAATTAAATGGATGCACAAGTCAATAATTAAAAGAAGTCTTATCCAATTTCCAGTCATCTCCTACTGGGGAAAATGTGACCAAGTTTCCCTGTTTTCCTGAGAGGGGGCTTCCCCTTTGATAAAGGTAGAGAACCGTTATCCATATATATTCTTTTGCTTCATACATCTTATATTCAGCAGGTTCTGAGCACTGGAAATCAGGACAACGTTAACTTAAGTTTTTTACTATGCCTCCTCGATCATTGGGCCAAGTGAAGGTGGTTTATGAGACAAGCTGTGTTTTTTCTGGGAAAAATAAAATCAAGGGCTGAAGTTATACAGGGAAAATGGACTATATTATGGATTATACAGCAAGCAATTATGGGCCCCCTAGTTTTCTGGAACAAAAACAGATTTTTCTTCTCTTGCTTATGATCAGATAAGTTATGGTGTACAGAAGTCTATCTTAGCATATTCACTCTATGCAAATTATCATTGTGGACACTTACAGAAGGAGTGAGACACAAAACTGGTCTTCTGTAGAAGTCCAGATTCTTAATAGATTCCCTACCAGAAATCATGACATCAGATTTTGGAGGGTATTATTTTAAGTCAGCAGGAATGCTTATTAAAATCTGTCACCTCCAAAATTTGTTTGCATGAAGTAAGTACTGACATATAGGGACTGCTTAAGCAAATATCTCTCTGGTTTCAAATGGAAGATATTGGCCTTGAATCAACTTGATTCAGCAAGATATATAAGTTTAAGTTCCAAACCAAAAAAAAAAAAAAAATCTTCAAGTAAACCACTGTATCATATCCAGGGGATTAGCTAGTATAAGGGATGAACATTTAGAGACTTAGCACTAATATTTCCTGTTATTGAAGTTATTTAGGCTTTGTCAGAAAGGGGGTTATCTGCTCATAACCCTTATAGACAATTTGAAAATTCTCTGAAACGCTAGAATATTGTAGTCTTCAGTAACACTTTATATCTATTAATCGTGTTTCCTTAGGAGATTTTAAACCATAAATATGAGAATTACCTTTTCTTGAGCCACTCACATTAGGACTGTTTTTGGAAACCTGTTTTACATATTTAAGAAATTCTCAGATGATTGTAATATGTGGTAAATGGTAAAAGCCCCTGAATATGCTCCAAACTTTAGAGAGAATTAAATCTGTCTGCTAACTATCTAAATAAATATACTGAGGCTGAAACAACCAATTACTTTTTGTTTACTGAAATAGTGAAGGTTGCAATGAAAACATTTTATGTATTCTTAATGATGATTTTCTTCTTTGAGCGGCTCACTTGGAAAAGCAACACTTTATAATTGTCAAAGACCTGGTATTTAATGTAGAGAAAAGAAGTGGTGATGTTTCTGAAGTTTCAGGTCCTCACGTGCTCTGTAACTTTGAGGTAGACAGCAATCTGTAAGTTCATAGACAGCATTATCTACATTCTAAGTGGTAATCAGTTACTTTGAGCCAGGCTCTCACATTTAAGAGAGAGTTGATAGTCCATCCATGTCCATGTCTTCCTTGTCTATAACTCTGTGGTCAGTTCACATGTGAAATGAGCCAGCACTGGCTATGATTAATGGTGTGAGTGGAATTGCATGTCAGTGAGATCACCACATAGAGATTTTAAATGCCTGTTATCGTAGTCACCTGGCTAAACTGAGCCAACAGGCTTTATGCTAGATCATTGAAAACTAAACTTGGACATCATTTAAGGAATAGTCCATTGTAAGCCACAGTGCTGGAAGAAAAACTCATCTCTTAACTCCAGTATGTTCACTATTTTTTGTTTATAAGGAATGCTCAACAGTGTATTATTTATAAACAGTTTGCTCTCTGTTCTACAGGGGCTCGGGAAGGAAAACGCTCCGCATTTAGAGAATCAGTTATCCCCTGCAGACGTGTACTTTCATAGTTTGGTGCTGCTCTCAGTGAAGTTGATTGCTAAAGCAGAAGAATGTGCTGGATGAAAGGGATGTGGTCACGTCCAGTATAAAGTTCAAGGGGAGTTCACACTAATTCTTTATCCTGTATTATCCTTCTTTTTTCCATACTGACAGGAAGCAGTTTAGTCAATTAAAAAATGAAGGTTGCTGAGGAAGGTGGTTTCCTGGAAGGGTTACCATATCTGTTTCGCTGTTTGCTCTTTTCCTTTGTCTTAGACTTGATGATACATGCAACAGTAAAAGGAAGATACTTTTGCCCTTATGATTTGTAATGCTTCAAGTAATATTTGAAGCACCTGCCTTTAGCCTTGTCAAAACATTTTTAAAAATATCTTATTGAACCTAGTGTTTTCTCAGTGAGTAAGGTGATGTGCTAAGCAAATCTATTAGGAGGTGAATTTCTGAGATAAAGCTACATCCACAACAGCAATGAAAAATATTGAAAAACTAAGAAAAAATCATAAGTTAGTTAAGAGCTAACCCAGTTGACCATAGAGCAGGGCATTCTGAAAATGGACCTAAAAAAGGAAGAAATGAAAATAGGATTGAGAGAGACAAAGCTTGAATGTATTAACATGCAATTCATATAATAAAGACTATTTTCTACTATAGTCTGTGTGTACGTCTGTATGTCTACACACCTGTGCACACTTCTCTGGTACATAGGCAAATTTTTAAGGACAGCAAATTTCATTTGGTAAACAGGGATAATATATGAGTATGCATATTAGAGATGCAGCATTGTCATTGAAGTACACTGTCTTTTTGCTAAGTTTGTCAAGAAGTGTTGGAAATAAGATAATGCCAAGGTTTTAAGCTCCTAAGAAAAATAATGGTGAACACCTGTGTTAAGAGGTTGCACACTATTTTCAAATGAAATGTATTAGTTCACCTGCAAAAGTCAAACATGGAAGTCAGTGGAAAATCAAGCAGTGTATTTTTGGAAGTTGATCCATGGGTTGGATGTTAATATAAATAGAAAATCTTTACTGCACACAATTGGAATATGCTGCTTTGGGACACTGATATATTTATCATCATTTAAAGGGTTTAAATATACACTATTATATGGAGAGGAGATTCAAGAACAACATAAATGGCTGGCTGAAATAATTTCAATGTTTCATATAGTACTGAATTTAATTTAGAACCTATAATTATTAATTTTGTGATGCACTAATCATAGCAGTGCTTTGGTAGGTAATAACAAGTTGGTAGGGCTTAAACTTCTGAAACTAGAAGGCCCAAGCTGGAAAGTATAGCTTGGGCCTCTGATGGTCTTCTAAAACCAATGGACAGTCCAGATTTGTTGCGCTATTGTCAGATGTAGTGCTTTTCCTTTTCAAAAATATAATTCCTCGAAATATCTCAAGTAAACTTACATTTTCTATCTCTGTCTTGCCGCTTCGGTTTACTTTCTAGTATGTTTTTAGAGGGGTCCATTTTCCTATTTGGCTACTTAAGACTCCCACCATCCCAGCTAGTTGGTTGCATTTGATACATTGTACTGATTCTTGACCAGATGAGCCCCTTAATAGATTGGCTGACCAAGAATTACCACTTTTCTTTAAAATTGTACTTGTTTCTCTTTCAATGACTGACATATTATCTCCTGCTTTGTAGGCACTTAGCAGTGTCTGAGGGAACCACGTTTTTGGGTAATGACAGTCAACCTTTTGGTCTTGGAAAAGGCCCTTGTTTGACTTAAACTGTCATCATCTCTCAAATTCCTGGCCATGATGATTCACTGAAGTGTACACACATAACTCAAATTGAACCAGTGAGCTATGAGATGCTTACTCAGGGATTACTAAGAGGGAACAAGTGGTATAAATGTGCAGTGTCTGCACTTTCCAAGAGAGTTTCTGACATTAAAGAGGGAAGTTATTATACATGAAGGGAAGAGAGCTGAGAGGACTGAGTTCCACGAGGATGTCATGAACTTCTGAATAAAGAATCAGGAATCTGTTTTGGGGGTCCTTTGTGAACAACTAGAAACATCCTAACAAATAAAAAGAGGCAAATGAATTTCAAGAGTGCATTAAGGAAACTTGGAGTAAACTCTGATCTGTGTATATCTCAGTTCAGCTTTTGCTACCTCCTCTTCTGAATATTTTCTTTTGCTTCATTCACAAATATTTTTCCAAATAAATTGTCATGAACATATCCCTTTTATTCAAACCATTTTATCTATTTTAGGGCCCCATGTTTACTTTATTACAGAGATGTACATACTCCTTTAGATTCCCTATCTTCCCTTTGTTTTATTTTTTAAGGTCAATGGCATGTACTTCCTTGGTAGTATATTTATTTAATATGAATCTGCTATTCTATTATTTGGTCGCTTTTATTAGATTTTTTTGTCTTTTTTGTTTTTATCGGTACCAGGGTTTTATTAGATTTTTAAACTGTAATTTGATTTATGACTCCCAAACTCAACCCAGTGCCTAGTTGGTAAATTACACATAGTAGAAATCATGAATGTATTCTAGCTCTTAATCCTCACAAAGCAACCTGCCAGGCTACCGCAGAGTTGATTTATATTTTCCTTTGACTGTTCAATAAAATTTGACTTAGGTCCCACCTGTAAGTTCATCTTTGATCATTTTTATATAAGACCCAATCATTCAGCAACGCATTGTAGGATAGACACACATAAAAAAGAGACTTCTCAAAGAAGTTTAATGTTTAAAAAAAGTGTCTACATGCATGAGTATCTCAAGGCTTTAATTTCTTTTCACTTTTGGAAAGTTGTGATGTAAAAACATTTTACAAATCTGATCTCAAAAAAAAACCCCAATGATTTAAGTAATCTGTGCTTTTATGCAAAAATGAATCAATTTCCTTAGTTTCTCATGTAACATGTTTATTAAACATTTCAGTGTCAATTTAAGATTGTAACATTTAACCTTGAAATGGAACTAGTACCAATTCTACTTACAGGAATATATTTTAGACTTTTTGAACAATTTTGAATAAAATGAAGGACACACTGTCTTTAAATTGTGCTTGGAGCAAACACCAACAAATATCAGCTCATTCTTTCCAACTAATAAAACATTTAATGATGCAGTGTTGCTTAGAACATTACTTTAATGCTATGGTCATGGAAAATGTTCTTATTTTTGTTTCTGTTTGGTACTGATGATCAGTATATCCTCCCAAAACATCCCTAAGCTTCACACAGTTTGAATTTAAATATTGAATTTTTCACTTGGGCTTCAGAAAAATCCTGACAAATAAAGATCAACATGTAACTTTCTTTTCCAGACACCGAACCATAAATTTTCAATCCACATAACTTATCATAGAGTCTGTATTGGGAAGTAGAACTTTTCAAGATAACGTTTTAGAAATAAAAATTATCTCTGAGTTAGAGGGAATTAAAAATCATTGAAGTTTTGACAGAATATGTGCTTTGATCATTGTTCCCACGTATTTCTTTTTCAATATAAAGTGACAATTTGTACTGTCATTAGAAATATACATTTATATATAAAGTTTTGCATTCAAATCTCTTTATTTTGATTACCTATGACTAAAGACCACAAATCAAATATAAACTCTATATAATATATCTCATCTAGGAAGCATATGTTATATATACATATATATTTGTAGAACAATCCACTGTTTTAAGTGTGATTCTGACTTTAAAAAATCCTATTTACAATTTTATGACAGAGAATAACCTCATCCTTTAATGATGGTAAAATGAACAGGGAATTTGTGTTTGACTGTGTCACCCTGTGCAGATGAACTCAAGCAATGTCATGGGAAACTTTCTTAAGAGCAAGGCCTTGCCGACTAAGCCACGAGGGGGAAAGAATTTGATATTGCTGGGTCTATGTTAAAACCATTATTCTTCACCAAGAAACCAGCGACCCTACATTAGGGCCTTCAGCCTTTTAAAAACACAACCATCGATCACTCTTCTTCCTTTACTCTTGTTTTAATACTCTCATGTCTTATTAGTGGCACCTCAGTGCCACAGATTTAGATTATCCAGCTATAACCTTGTCATTGTCTTAACTGCAAGGTTCTTGAATCATGTTTTCTAAGAAAACATGTTTAACAGAGAAAGAGGCCCCAAAAGAATCACACTGAATTACATGATGTCTCTTTATTGTGCCAAATCATGATGGTTAAATGTTATGAATTTCATATGTATACTTCAAAGTCAAAACTGTTAACATGACCAAGAATAGGACAGCTGGCTATCTTCTGGTTCCCTGAAACACAAAACCTCAAAACAAATGGAACACCAGCACTTTTTCTTTCTATATCTCCAATTTTTAGCTTAAAAACAAAGCACCTTGACCAGCAGGCTATTTTGTAAGACTCTAAATTTTAAAGTTTTGTTTTCAGTCTCAAACCCAGTGATTCTGAAGCACATTGCAGTGACCTTCCCTTAACTTGTATTTACAGAGCTAGTATTAAATTTCTACTAAACACCATTTTTCCCCCTAGGAGTATTTCAATGCATTTCAAAAAGTTTGTTCCACTTAAAATTGAATATGTGATAAATGAGTTTAAGACCCAGAAAATTAGAACAATGAAAATCAAAGTAAAAATCTTATTATGATAACCTTGAAGAACAAAGTATTATAACTGTTAAACCCTAATTCACATTGTTGGAGGGAATTGGATAATTAGATTTATATTGGTAATATTTTAGGAACACAGTAAATACTGACTCTTCCCATTAAAGAGATAAATGTATTTATAAAACAAGCTGCTGTTGAACATTTATTTTGTGTTCTAGATCATAATTTTGTCAAGCTTATGTGCAAAAGAAATATGAGGTTTCCAACTGATTCTCTGAAACAAGTTATGAATAAAACAAATTTCCAAAGCATTTCTCTGCACAGAATATTTACTTAACATCCTATGGAGAATATATATAGATTGGTTGGATAGAAGATTTCTCCCCCCAGTACTGAGGGTTAAAACCAAGGCTTCCTGCATGCTAAAAAAAAAAAGTCTCCCCCACTGAATTCTATCCCCAGTTTGAATGAGCTCTCAGAAAGGAGGACTATAAATGTTAAATGACAGACACCCACTGAAAATAGAAGAAGAGATTTTGTTGGATTCATGCCTCTAGCATATCTTTTCAGAATTAAGTGGGCTAGATACAATCCATTGTATGTTAGTGTCATTGATTGTTAGGGTAAATGAGTGTGGATTCCCTCAGTTGTGTTACTTGTGAACAGCAGCTCTGTGAGGGGTATATGTGCATCACCACAAAAGCTCTGCTCATTTCATGCTAAAAGAGACTGTGACCTCTAAGCTTTCTTGATCATTTTGAAAAATAAGCCCTTGTGCTTGGGATTTTTTTGTTCCTGGAAGTTACAGATGTATTCATAATCAAATTGAATCATAAGTAACAAGGAAAATGTACACACATCCTCATTTTCTCCAAGGGTAGCTTTTTTTTTCCTAGAAAAATAGGATTCTTCTTAATAGTAGTTGTTGTTTTAATCTAAATATATTCATTTGTAACTTCCAAAGTATTTTGATCTAACAAGTACCTCTTATAAATACGTGTTCAAAATCTCTGGCTAGATGTGTGGATGTTTACTCTTCGAACTTATTAGCCAAATTATTCCATTTATTCTTCTCCTAACCTCCTGATAAGGTGAAGTAGGGAACTTAGTGAAGGACAAGAACCACTGCTGAAGGATACTGATTGTGTAGAGTGAAGGAGGCTATGTCAATCTTGAAAGAACATAGTGACCAATGGCAAGGTTTCAGGTGAGGGCCTAGCGTTTCAGCAAAGTGTATATATTTTAGGTAGTTGTAATTGGAACAGTACATGCTGGACAGTAGAGATATAGGAGAAGTTACATGCTAATCTTCTTATTAATAATACCCATAAATCTGCATACATTTTAAACATTCTGGTTTATTTTGTTTGAATTTGGATATCTCTATACCATTCTTGGTTTGTAGGGCTAAGTATCTTTTAAGTCCAATGTAATTATGTTACATTTGTTTCTTTGCTAGCATTTTTCTAATACCTTGGTATTCCTAACTGTGTGCTTGCTTGCTTCTATACTGAGTTCTTTCTCAGTACCTCAGGCCACTCATAACTCCATCGGTTGGAGTCATAGCTGCTAATTCCATATAGTTTCTGTCTGTCCTTAAAAATTCATTGTGCCACTAGGACCCTTCTCTCAACTAGACTTACAAATGAGAATATACTCAACAAAAACCCACTGTCTTCCTGAGACATTAAGTTAGGAATTTCACAACCATGCCTTTGGATTTCCCGTAGAGTTTGGAAATCTTATGTACACAAAACTGCAGCAGAGTACAAAGGCAAATCCACTTTTTACTGAATTTCCTCAGACTTATTTTCTTATATAAAATGTGTTTTTCTCCTTTCCTGCTGCAAGATATGGTACAAAACTCTCTGAGACAGCTAGACATACACATGATACTCTCAAATGAGTTCACAAAACAGAAAATAAGCTCAAAAGGTAAGGCCAAGTAGTTTATACCTTACTGCCTGGACATAGTAATGACCTAGAATGGCCAGGTTTTACTTCAGAATTATGACAGTAACTGCTTTTTTAAATGGCCAAAAATAAATGAGACTCTGGATCTGTACCTTTGATAAAAATATGGTATCTCTTACAAGAATCTGAAACTTTTCATGAAGGGGCTAAGTCACTGAATACCATTAGATTCAACATAGGAGCATTCATTTGCAAAAGAAATCTTAACAGTTTCAAGAGTCATTTTTAAAGTTTTCTTGATGTTAAATGGTTCCTGGCTCCATACTATATAAGCACTGCAATAGTATCATTCATACATATTTAGTTTTATGGTTTAAAAAAACCCTAGAAACAGGATGTAATTGTGTCAATTCCAGATGCCCAAAGGAAATACAAAATCAAACAAAAGCACACATCACAGTATTACCCAGTTCACGTTAGAGTCTAACATCAATCTCTAAATTCAATTCTCCATGACCCTTTCTTTAATAACTGTATTTTATCTTTATTATACTTATGCATTCGTTACAATTAGCCCTCTAGTAATAACAACACAGTTTAAATTACTGTTTGTGGAGTCCTGATTTATTTTTTTTTCCTTTGCTTTTATTTGTGCTAATCTTTGTGCATGTGAATTTTCTACCACATTGCAACAGGCAAGCTTTGGTGCAATTTTCTTTTCCTAAACAAGGGAAATTTTCTGTGCAGAATCTTAGCTACTAGGTCCTGCATTGCCATTTTAATTTTCTCTCCTTGGGTGAAATTTATTGGCAGAAAATGGGGAGGGTAAAGGGAGGGAAGGAGAAGGGATGATGAGGGAAGAAGGAAAGAGTTCACAGCTATGTTGAATCTTGATTCACAACTTTGCCTCCATTCATGGTTGGTGTTCCGGAACTTTTCCTCGAACGCCCTTGCTTCTCTCCAATTTCATGTAGTGATGGTTCTCTGTACATACACACTGCAAAGCAAAAGCACAATTAGTCATGATAGAGGTCATCAATTTGGCTTTAATAACTTCTCAAATTTTATTTTAGAATAGTCTCCTGTCTTGAAGGTTTGTTCCCCACTGTGGAATAATGTTAACTTGATAATTTAACTTTAACTTGATATTTTTAGTGGACACCTATGGTTCTCTTCTAGTTCTACCGGTCATAACCTTTTAAGCCTTCTTGCACTGCAAACCTGTGACTTGAACTGCAAACCTGTGAGTTCTTTCTGTTTTCTGATAGATAAGGTTTGACTCTAACCTAGCTAACAGGATAACAGGATTTTCACCTTGAGTTAGAAGAGAAATTGAAGGTGTAAGTTTTAAGTTGGAAATCGTTGTTTTCCTTTTTGTTCCTTACTGAAATCTAGTTGGGGGAGGAAAAACTATTTACTGGCAGGCTTCTAATTTTTATTTCGCTACAAGAATGACATTGTAGTTTACCAACCAAACAGAGAGCAGAGAAAAAGAAAGATGACTCAACTTCCCTGATTGCCCCAGATTCCCTTCATCTATAATAAGGAACATAGTCTGTGACATTTTTGTTATTCATCAACAGGGAATACGATTATGCAACAGATTTTAGTTCACATCTATGTAAACACTCCCTTCCCTCCTCTATAATAGTTTTATGCAGCACTAAAGCCCAGTTATCAGTGAATCATCAGCATTGAGACCAGACTATTGTTTAGAAAGAACAATGTTTTCTAATCCAAAAGGGTTTTTTATAAGACAGTCTCAATCAACATATGGAATGAATTAATTCTGCTTCATTAGATTATTCTGAGGTAAAGCATATACAAGACAGTTTAGTTAAGTGTCAAAAATTACTTTTATGTTTGATTTAAGGTCAAGTAGTTAATTTAATCTTCTTTCATTCAATTACCAGTTAAAAATTCTGTATTATTATAGTGTTCTCAGGGATGTTGATGCTGGTGAAATGAAACACATTGCGAGTAATACACATATGACTACAATGTTTGTCTCTTAAGGGCCTTATGGAATTATTACATACATTTTCATTGCAATTATTGTTACATGACAATTGAACACACTAATGTTTCGTCATGACATTTCCATACCTGAATATGATTGGTTTTGAGCACACCCACCACCCCTATCCTCTTTTCCCCTTCTCTTCGACTTCCCTAATTGTCCTTCTTTTACTGTCATGTTGGACACACCTTTTAAACAAGATTTCAATTATAAAGCAAGGGGCTGAGGATTTAGCTCAGCTGCATAAGTGCCTGCCTGGCAAACTCGAGGCCCCCAGTTTGATCCCAGGTACCAACAAAACAAAACAACAACAAATCAATTACTAAAGCAAATGGCTTTCCAACATCCGTAAAGAAGTAAGCATCTTCGGTTGAAGAAGCAGAGTATACAGGTTTCCTAGTTCAGAGAGTAGACTCTGACACTTTAAAATTATAAAGTAAATAATTGAAATTTCTGTCTTCTTGACTTAACAAAAGCAAGAAAAATTTTATGGAAGGTCTTGTTGAAGTTCCTGGAGTCTAACAGTTATTACCTGTATTTCTGTTATGAAGAAAGTATCACAATTTCTAAATTAAAGTACATTGTAGTTTGTATAATATTTTATTCATATAAAATTATAGCTTATGTATAAATAGCTCACAAGCAAGGCAGTTCAGAAAAAATAAAGCAGTTCAATAAAAAATTATTCATAGGATGCTATAAAGTAGTTTTTTCCAACTCTGTCTCTTCCTCAGCTGTGAAATCCATATATCTCCAGGTCCCAATACAGATTGCTAACCCAGAATTTCAGTGGTTGAAAACAAAACACTCTTTTTCTTTTTTCACAAAAATATAAAATATTTTTAAAAATTTCTTTGTCCTCATGTTAGAATTAGTTGAACAGTGTTGTTTTTAAATTTTCATTTAACAATACCACTTTATGATTTTTAGATCTGAGTTGCTCAGAGTTGAAATTTCTCTTTTAAGTTTCTGACAAAATAGATTCCACTCAGATTTTCATTTAGAGTTTTATCTCATTTTGCATGAATTTTTGCTATCATTCACTTACATATTAAATATTTCATTTGTGAAAATACAAAATCTACCCATATAATTGTCACTTCAGAAAACATTTCCAATGACTTAAGACTGCTGGCTGTCATTGGAAAGGGAAGTTTCAAACTGACACCTAAAACTCTGCTATTTCAATTAACACACACATATAAATAAACACACAATAAATAAAGTATAGATAACTGAATTATACTGGCTAACATTTAAATTATTAGAACTATATGTCAATACGTAAGTTGGCATTAGCCTTATTTAAGATCCTTGTGTCATCAAGAAATGACAATGGAAGCAAATGTAAGCATGACACTATTAAAAATTGTTGGCAAACGTGGAGAATCTGAGAGCCTTGTGCACCGCTGTTTGAAAGGTGAAACGATGGCGCCATTGGGTAAAATGAGATAATGATTCATCAAATATTAAACAGAATCACCACGTGATCCAATGACCCCTGCTCTGGGGGGGGGCACCAAGAAGAAAGCAATGTGGGTGCACCTGAAACTTATAAAAGTTGTTCCGGGACCTTGCATGCAATCGCAGTTTCATAGAAGCCAATTCAGCTGAGGACCCATGTACATGAGGCCAAATGTTTATTTAATATACGTACTCCTCATGCTCTATTTTGACTGAAATTCAGTAAGGATGTGCTTCAAACTCATTAATAAGTCCTTTTATTCTGGGGAAAGCTTAATTCAGCACCCCAAAAGCTTTAATGACAACAGGTACTAGATAAAGAATTACTAATCTCATATATAAAAAGAGAAACCATGTATTTTATAATAAAATATTCATCAAAAATTTACACAGCTATCAGTATCAGAATTGGAATTCTATTATTAATTTCCATTCACATGCTACCAAACAGTTGGGGGAACCTTGAGTGAGCATTTTCTTAGGCTCTGATCTTCAAGGGTTATATACTTTTTCAGCTTCTATCTTGTGGTTCTGAAGTTATTGCTATTCTTTGTTAGAGTGTCTCTCTCCATGTCTGCCTCTGTCTCTGTATTATCCTGTGTCTGTATCATCCTGTGTCTGTGTGTGTCTGTCTGTCTGTCTGTCTGTCTCTCTTTCTTGCTTTTTCTGTCTCTCTGGATTGATCCAGAACCTTTGCACTGAGCTACATCTCACTATTTTTTGGACAGGGTCTTGCTATATTGCCAAGGTGGTTCAAACTTGTGGCTCTCCTGCCTCAGCTTCCCATGGTGCTAGAATTAGATGTGTACATCACCACATAAACTGATTTCTTCCTCTTTGTAAATACCAAGAACTTACTAACCAGAAATATCTTCAATTTCTTGATTTGCACAAGTTCAAAGTGCTGTGATATTTAAGGAAAGAGCATTATCATCTCTTTCTGTTCCACTGAACTACTGATTCAAAAGAAATAGATTTATTTTGCTTTAGGGAGCTCTGAAATTTTATTAAATATCTTTTCTGTTAAATATTTTTTCCTGTGCCATTTCTGTTATTCATTCTTGCTCATTTCAGCTATGAAGTAAAATTATTCTTCTTTTTTGAAAAGCAAGTTTTTTCAGTACTAGGCTTGAACTTGTAGTCAGCCTGCCTTAGCCTCCCAGAGTGCTGGGACAGGTTGCCTAGTGATGAGGGGTAATATCTAGACAACAGATGCAGTGAAAACCAAGCCAAGCCTACTAATCAACCAAAATTACCCTACCTTCCTAGCTCCCCAGTTTAGGTTTACAGGAACTCAGAATCACTGGCACAACCTGAAACAATGCCTTGTATTTGTGGCACTTAGTATCTTAGTAATTATTACGTCTGGTTCAGGACACTGGACTAAGATCACCACAGATTTTGTTTTCAGCAGCTATGATCTGATACATTGCACCTGATTTTTTTTTAACCAGGTTTCTTACTGATTGTATTTTACATTACTTTGTTAACAAAATTTCTATACCACAATGTCACAGGTTTCCAGTGTCTGGGGGATTTGATACCTGAATGACTACAAATGGAATTTCCCCTTCCTCTGGTTCTTCTGGGCTGGTCTGGGGCAGGATGCTTTTCTTATTTCTGTTCTTTTCTGGGGTACAAATATTTGGGAAAAGAAATATTTGCTCTGCCTTCATTCCACAGGATCTTTTTTTGTGATAAAGAATCAGTGTTCCCACAACACACTTTATCATAATAGTTTTGGCTAAATGGTAAAAGCAGATAATGTTTTGAAAGAGAAGCATTTTATTGGGTGTAGTACTATTTCTTAAAATCAAAGCAAATTCTTATCTCAGTTATTTTCCCCCCTTTAAATTTATTTCTATTCCTCCTCAGATTTCCCTCCACTTCTTCTCCTTGACGTTTCTTTCTACTCATAACTTTTACTCTTCTAGATCAATAATAGACTGATGATGCGTGGGGGTTTAGTTTAGTGCTGAGTAAAATGAGGCAGAGAAATCTGAGAAGAGAATTTGTCCTTACTTTCAATGCAAGGACAACTAACTATAGGCTTCTAATACCCAGTTTGTTTGTTGTGTCAGCTTTATCTGTAGCAATGGCTGGGATTCCCCAGTGAAATTTCCTAATGTGAGCTCAGCAGTCATGCAAGGCAGACAGAGTCACCTGGAGACTTGGTATAGTGAAAACCATCATTTGTGCAGCTGTCCAAGCAAAAACCGCTTATGTGTAGCATTTACATCACAAGTAAGGCATTGCATTTGCTCATAACAGGACCACAAACTATCCAATGTGTGACTATGCAGAACTACATTGATTTATTTTTAAATGAATTCCTTAGAAACGAAAAATAGGACTGGGTATGGTGGTGCACACCTGTAATCCCAGCACTTAAGGAGGCTCAGACAGGAGGATAGAGGCCATCCCAGGCTACAAAGTGTTCAAGCCTGAACTGCAGAGTTAAAACTGTTTCAAAAAGGCAGAAAGAAAGAAAAAATTACATTTATACATCTGAG